GTCAGGGTGGTGGCTCTCGTCCGTAAAAACCAGCTACTCCCAAAGACCAGAAAGATCTCCATTAGAGTCCAACCTAGGCAAAGTTAGCGAGACCCTTGTGCCACACCACGGTTCCCCAAAAGAGTGAGCAGGGATCGTGCAGCGCCGGGAAGGGGGGTGCAAAGGCTGTGGCAATCTGCGCCGCGCCGCGGTCCCCACCCTCAGCCAGGAAGTCTGCGCGCAGCGCGGGAGGCCGGAGAGCGGGGATGGGGGGGTGCGGAGGGAGGCCGGGCGGGAAGTCGGGGAGCGGGGATGGGGGGTGCGGAGGGAGGCCGGGCGGGAGGTCGGGGAGCGGGGATGGGGGGTGCGGAGGGAGGCCGGGCGGGAGGTCGGGGAGCGGGGATGGGGGGTGCGGAGGGAGGCCGGGCGGGAGGCCGGAGAGCGGGGATGGGGGGGTGCGGAGGGAGGCCGGGCGGGAGGTCGGGGAGCGGGGATGGGGGGTGCGGAGAGGGGCCGCGCGGGAGCCGGGGACCGGGGATGGGGGGGTGCGGAGGGAGGCCGGACGGGAGGTCGGGGAGCGGGGATGGGGGGTGCGGAGGGAGGCCGCGCGGGAGCCGGGGACCGGGGATGGGGGGGTGCGGAGGGAGGCCGGGCGGGAGGTCGGGGAGCGGGGATGGGGGGTGCGGAGGGAGGCCGGGCGGGAGGCCGGAGAGCGGGGATGGGGGGGTGCGGAGGGAGGCCGGGCGAGAGGTCGGGGAGCGGGGATGGGGGGTGCGGAGGGAGGCCGCGCGGGAGCCGGGGAGCGGGGATGGGAGGGAGAGCGGAAGGAGGCCGCGCGGGAGGGGGAGGCACGGGAGCGGGGGTCCGGGGAAAGAGCCCGCGCGGAGCCGGGCGCACCTGGATGTCCTCGATCATGTCGGGCGTGAAGAGCTCGCGATTCAGCAAGGCGTCCCAGAGCGAGGCCACCTGCAGCTCGCCCACCAGGCGCACCCGGCACCGCCGAAGGAGCCGCCGGTCCGCTTCGTCCATGGCCTGCAGGCGGATGGGCCCGGAATTCCGTCCGCTTCCGGACCTCGGGCCCGCCCCTCCCGTTCCTCAGGTTCCGCCTCAAGCCCCACGCCCACCCGCCGACACTGCCTACGCCCCTTCTGCACCACCCGGGGCCCCGGTCCCTCCCTGAGACCCCAGGAACTGTGCGGCCCTGCCACTGCTCTTCTCCGGCCCGCCTCAGGACCCGCCCGGACTTTGCCCCCTTGCCCTGGAAGAGCCTGCAGGACACGCCCCTCCCACTGCCCCACCCCCTCGCCCTGGCGGAGCCTGCAAGACACGCCCCCTCCCAGTGCCCCACCCCCTCGCCCTGGAAGAGTCCGCAGGACACGCCCCTACCACTGCCCCGCCCTTTCGCCCTGGTGGAGCCCGCAGGACACGCCCCTCACACTACCCCGCCTCCTCGCCCTGGTGGAGCCCGCAGGACACGCCCCTCGCACTACCCCGCCCCCTCGCCCTGGCAGAGCCCGCAGGACACGCCCCTCGCACTGCCCCGCCCTCTTGCCCTGGAGGAACCCGCAGAACACCCTCGGGTCACTGCCCCCCTTTCCCCGGAGGAACCTGCAGGACGTGGTGTCGTTTTCCCGTCCTTCCTCGCCCTCCTCCCCAGCCCAGATCAGGCTCTTGGTCCCTCCCTTAACCCCACCCCTTTCCCGAGCACAGCTTTGCATTTGTGCTATCTCTTCCTGGCCCGTACGCACGCCGCGTCTACCTTTACCGGGACTCCGGGGTCACACTACCAACGGGAGAAAGTTATGCCTGGACCCTTAGCGTGTTCCGCCTCATTTCAACCTCCGCGAACCCCACATAGGAGTCTCCCTCCCTCCCTGGTACTGTGATCTAGACTCAGTTTCCTCTATGAACCCAACCTACAGTAGTCTAAAGTTGCTCTCCCCTCTGCCACCCTAGCACTCCCCCTAAAGGAAAAGAACGGACAAAAATCTAGTCCTCTAAACTCAAGTTTTGCTCAGCTCGTTTTCAAAAATAATTGTTCCTGTTTATTAAGTTTTAAGTTCCGGCCATTGTGGTGAGCCATTCTTCGTAGCTTTTCATTTATTCCTGCTACCAAGGAAGTCATCTTTTCTCGTTTGCCAGATATGGAAACCCGCTCGGGTCACAAGTGAAAACAGCCAGAGACAGATTCAAACTAAAACTTGACTACCTATCCCTAACCACCTTAGCATAGGCCAAAAGACAAACTTACCATAAATTAAAAGACCTTAATTTGTCTCATGGTTCTAAGAATCAAGGACACTTCATTCCATAAAATAGAATGAAAGTCCCTTGAGCTGAGCAGACAGGTTGATTTTTATAGGCACAAGACCAAAGCAGGAAACCAAAAGTGGATTGTTTATTTCAAAGTTAACTTTCCTGGAAACTTTAATTAAAGCGGAAGAGATGTATGTTGGTCATCGACTTGCCTGATATCTTGCTAAATTTGTCATAACCTCAGATATACAAACGTCCATTTAGTTATTGTGGGTAACAGAATCTTTAGTGTTTGGGCCTAGCAGGCCCAAATGCTCATATATATCTTAATAAATGTAATCATTTTGAAACAGATGGTAGAGATCCACCCCTTCCTGGGTTTTTGAGAGGTTAATTGGAGAGAAGAGTCTCACAGGGACTTTTCTGCCCAACTGGTTTCAAACCATGCTTCTCAGATCTCAACCTCCTAAGCTACAATTTTTTTTTTTGTCGGTCATGGGGCTTAAACTCTGGGTTTGGGCACTGTCCCTGCACTCTTCAGCTTAAAGTGAGCGCTCTCCCGCTTGAGCTACAGTGCCACTTCTGGTTTTCTAGTGGTTTATTGGAGATAAGAGTCTCACGGACTTCCCTTGCCTGGCTGGCTTTGAACCGTGATCCTCAGATCTCAGCCTCCTGAATAGCCAGGATTACAGGGCTGAGCCACAGGTGCTTTGGGCTCAAACAGAAAACCTACAGCCATAAACTGCCATTGGATGGGGAAGAAGTGGTATTTCTGCCCAACAAAAGAGCTGTGAATGGCTTAAACACAGTCCATCATTTGCATAATAAATTGTACATTGATTAGTACAAACATCAGGGGACTATTGTGATTGGTGCAGACCACCTAGACCACCCTCCCTCCCATGTTAGTGAAAGTTCAACTCTTTTATTTCTTCCCTGTCCATCTGCCTCCCCCCACATGTTAATATCAGGTTCCAATAAAGACTCCAGTGGTCTTCCCTGCCACTAGTATCAAAAAATTGAGAAGCAGCTATGGCCGGTGAAAGCTGCCCTAACAGCAGGGCAAGCTGAGCAGGCCAAGGAGCAATTGGAGGAAAGTAGCAGCTCAGCTGACAGCAGAGCATCTATAGCCAATGGAAAACTCTAACACTAGGGCCTCAAGTGACCTGAAGTACAGGAAGATACCAGAGCTGACTGCCATTTCCCCCTGAAACCTGAAATTACCCATAAGAGCCAGAAAAAGTGGAGCAGCATCTCCCCTACCCATGATTTCTATCTGGGTTGAGCAAAAGAAATGCAGCACTGATAGTCTGTAACAACTTGAGCAGAAATACTTTAGTTTTGAGGGGGCTAGGGTTTAGCTCAGTGGCAGAGCATTTGCCTAGTACAGCACTGGGTTGCTTGATCCAAACCCCATGGCTACCAAATACTTTTTTTTTTGGTCGGTCATGGGGCTTGAACTCTGGGCCTGGGCGCTGTCCCTCAGCTCTTCAGCTCAAGGCCAGCACTCTTCCACTTGAGCTACAGCGCCACTTCTGGTTTTCTGGTAGTTTATTGGAGATAGGAGTCTCACGGTCTCTCCTGCCCGGGCTGGCTTTGAACCGAGATCCTCAGATCTCAGCCTCCTGAGTAGCTAGGATTACAAGCCTGAGCCACCAGCGCCCAGCCCCAAATACTTTTTTAAAAAATATTTATTGGCAGCTCATATGTGCCTAGATCTGTGCAGACCCAGAGAATGTAGATGTGAAAAAAATAGGTAAGAAATCTCTGTCCTCAGAAACTTACATTCCACGGAGAAGAAACAGACAATTAATGTGAAGAAAGAAAAGCAGTATGAAGCCTGGCACCAATGCCTCACACCTGTCATCCTAACTACTCAAGGAAGCTGATATCTGATGATCAGGGTTCAAAGCCAGCCTGTGAGCCGCTTATCTCCACATAACTATCAAAAAGCTGGAAGTGGAACTAGGCTCAAGTGATAGAGCACTAGCCTTGAGCACAAAAGCTCAGGGACAGTGCCCAGGCCTTGAGTTCAAGACCCAGGACCAGCTTAGTGATGCAAACTATTTTTAAAGGATTTAAAAAAAATGCACAGGGCAAGTTGATAGGAAGCCTCTTTCTTTATATCCCCAAGGGATCTCTCATTGACAAAAAGTTTACCAGTCTCCTTTCCCCTCCCTACCTCCATTTCTAATATTTAAATAAATCTGGATCTGGCATACTATAAGGTAGAGATCTCTTTAACAGAATTAGGACTCCCAGATTCTACATTTTAGGAAGTCCCTGCCCCTCTCGGTGCCTCAAGATAGGAGGAGATGGACCAGGAAGGATCCCTAAGGTCCCTTCCAACTCTGACGCTCCAAGGTTCTATGAATAGGGTTAAGGAGACCTGGGACCAGCGATAGCTTCCCCATCCTAGCAACTGTTGCTAGACAGGGGCCGCCTCCTGGTAGGAGTAGAAACCCCTCCCTGAGTCCGGGAAGTCTTCCTGGCATCCCACAATGCACAGCGACTTTGCCTAGCTAGGAAGCACGTTTTGACCTCTTTGGTCACCACCAACCCTTTGGACCCAGCCACCATAGCGCGCCTCGTTCCTATAGCAACCGCGCCAGGTCCACGCGCCGACGGTAGATGACCAGGGCCAAAAGACAGTTGCAAAATAGAAGCCGTAGACTCGGCGAGTGGGCGCCGTCGGCGCGCGGGCCCTTTAAGAGTCACGTGACTCCTTCGGCCGGGTCCCCGCCTCTTTCCCTTCCCCAGGCCCGGGCGAGCGCTGGTGTGGACGGGAAGCTGCCGGCCCGGCGGGCTAACTGGAGCACGGACGCTGCAGCCGGTTGGGCCGGTGCCCTTTCCCGGTAACTCCTTCCCGGCATGACGCGGGGAGCCGCGGACGCGGCGGGGCCGGGATCTCCCGTCAGTGCCTTCTCGTTCCCGGTGCCCGCTGGGCCCGGGGGTGGGGGAGGATCGGGAAGCGACCCGGCCTGGCCCCGGGTTCTCGGGGCGGCGGGGAAGGAGGTCGCCTCCTGGGATGGCTGCGACCTCCGGTGGGCGCTCGAGGAGGGGCTCAGACCCAGAACGGGTCCCCGGGAGCCTCTGCCTGGTCCTGGGGCCCCGGCCCCCAGGGCGAGCAGCCTACCTGTTACAGGGCAGGTGTCACCCTTGGCCCGGGCCCCCAGGGCGGGCCGCCTACCTGTTACCGGGCCGGCCCAGACCAGGTGAACGCCAAGTAGAAATAACAATCCCACCACTTGGTGGCTGTTGACTCCATCCATGCCTGGTAAACCTTTGACATACATTAATCCCGGTGACGGCCCTGCCTGTTTTAGAATGAGAACGCTTAGGCCCAGTGAAATTAACTTGCCCACAGTCACGGAGAGGTGTAGGACCCATCCCAACTTTAGCCCGTGCTCTAAAACTGGGTAGCTTCATCACCTTCACGGTTTTTGCAGGTCAGATCCGCTTGTTTTAAAGGAAAAAAACTGGTTAGGATTTTATTGGTTATGCAGTTATAAACATCAATCGTCAGTTGAGTCCATTTTTCAAGGACTCCCAGGCAAGCGTTAGGCTTTCACTTGTAAAAACCCGCCACTTCTAAGATGTCATATTACACATTTGCACCTGGACACTTTATGACAAGTCAAGATAAATGTGATCCACAGGGGGAGTGGAGAGGGGATTGGGTAATATAACAAAGATCATGATCCTGAATTGAAAATGTCTGTTATATCTCACTGCCAGCCAAGATTATTTCCAAAACCCTCAGTGAATTCAATCCTGAGGCGCACCAGACGTGGAGCTTAAAGCATTTTTTTTTTTTTTTTGTCACTAATTCTCATTCACCTGCAAAACTAAATTTTTCCCTATTTTTTTTTCTCTCTGGAGTTTCTCCTTTATTATGACTCTTATTGCTAGCTGGTCATTTTCATGTTAGAATGGACTAAAACAAATGGAACAGAATAGAATTGGTGTATCCTAAGTCTTAGCTGCCAAGTATTTTAAGAGTGCTTTATTTTAACTTTATTGTCAGGATAGATGAACTCTCTTATTTGAGAAACAGTCACCCTAATTATCTGTTTATATTTTCATACATACACTTATTATTTCTCCATCTCATTCATTTTTCAGTCATTTTTAAAGTTTTTCTAACGCAAAGCTTCTAGAGAGTCATTCTTATCACTAATCTTTTTCTCTGTAGTGGGTCTTGTAATACTCCAAAGTAGTAGCAAGATTCCTGATTTATTTAAAAGGTAATGGGTTTTCATCTGTCTATCTTATCCATTCCCCTGCAAAGCAAAACTGTCGGAGATTCTGCACTGAAACTTACTACTTCTTCAATCATTGCAGCTCTGGGAAGGAAGAGAGATGGAAGTGAGGAAGTTGAGCATTTCCTGGCAATTCTTGATAGTTCTGGTTCTGATCCTGCAAATTCTGTCTGCGCTGGATTTTGACCCATACAGAGTCCTAGGGGTCAGCCGAACAGCCAGTCAGGCTGATATTAAAAAGGCTTACAAGAAGCTCGCCCGGGAATGGTAGGTGAAACAGAACCGCAGTTTAATGTAAGCTAAGTAGTGTTAGCAGGGCGATGAAGAATAATTAGGATTGGCTTTTCTCTGTCTCTATTCTGTATTTCATGTGTATCTGTCTCTCTCCCTAGATAGGAATATATCTGTCTAGAGTATTTAGTGTGAAACTAAAAGGAGCAGCTTTATTTTTTTTTTAAGAACATAGTAATCAACTGTGGGTAAAATACTCTACCCTTTACTCTTTTGGAGTAAAAATACTAAGGAGCCCACTGTCCTATTCTCTAAAAATGTTTATGCATTAAGCAGGTTTAGAGTAGCACTTTTTATCTTCAATTTAAAAAGGATGTTTAGGAACTGAGAATCTTAAAGCAAATATTATGGATGTATCCTGGTTTTGTCAGTAGTTACTTGGATGGTAATTAGCAGAGTATCAATAAATCTAAAGCTTATTTTGGACAGTCATCTTGGGTTTCTCCCACCAAAGAAACAGAAATGTTGGGTGATAGAGCTTGAGGAGGAGCCACATGAGGAAGAGAAAGGCCTGGGAGAATACTTTCAGGTAACTTCCAGGTGGCTGGGACAATCAAAAGCAATGAGCAGATTTGCACTGATAGGCTCCAAAGTAGGCCATTACTGCATGCTCAGGTCCAGGTTCTGTGTGTTTCAACTCACTGAACCTTATAATTAGCCTGTGAAGGAGGATATTGTTGAACCTGTCTTACAGATGAAAAAAACTGAGGCTCAGAGTTGGTAAATTTGTAAAACCTTAGGGTTCTGTTGTCTGTTCTTGTGCACCAACTGACTCTATTGGTGTGATTTTTAAAGCATTTTCTCATCTCAGTGGAAAGAGGGAAAGGACCTGATGAGAGCAGGAAGTTGGACAGGAGTGACACTGCCATATGTGGGTGGCACCCATACCTGAGTCTGCCTGGTACCACTCTTCTTAGTGAGCAAATAGACCCTACTGTTATTAAGCTGATTGCAGAAGAAAGTAAGAGGTAGAAACCCACAACAGTGGCTCACACCTGTAATCCTAGCTACTCAGGAGGCTGAGATTTGAGGATCGAGGTTTGAAGTTGACCCACACAGGAAAGTCCCTGGAATTTTTTTTTTTTTTTGCTGGTCATGGGGCCTGAACTCTGGGCCTGGGCGCTGTCCCTCAGCTCTTCCACTGAAGGCTAGCACTCTCCCACTTGAGTCACAGCGACACTTCTGGCTTTTTCTGTTTATGTGGTGCTGAGGAATCGAACCCAGGGTCTCATGCATGCAAGGCAAGCACTCTACCACTGAGCCACTTTCCCAGCCCTGCATGGCATTATTATCTCTAATTAACCACCAAAAAGCTGGAAGTGGAACTGTGGCTCAAGTGGTAAACTGCTGTCCTTGGCAGAAAAAGCTAAGGGACAGCATCTAGGCTCTGAGTTCAAGCCCAGTACTAGCACCAAAAAAAAAAAAAAGGAGGGCTGGGAGTATGGCTTAGTGGTAGAGTGCATGCACAAATGAGGCCCTGAGTTCAATTCCTCAGTACCACATACACAGAAAAAGCTGGAGGTAGCACTATGGCTCAAATGGTAGAATGTTAGCCTTGACAAATGAAGCTCAGGGACAGTGGCCAGGCCTGGAGGTCAAGCCCCAGGACTGGCAAAAAAGAAAAAAAGATAAAATGCAATATAATATAATGCATTCAATAAATATTTTAGGTCATATTAGGAATCTAGAATTACTGGACACTAGAAAAAGGCAATCTCTAATTTTACATGGCCTCTTTCCAGAGTCTCTATACCAAACTTGCTTTTGGTAACATTTCAAACTCTTGTCCCTTTATGTAAGAACCATATATAAACCTGCAGTTAATTCATAAAGTAACAGCATTCTTTTGGACAATATACAATAGCTTAAGGGTGCATAGCTCTTTGCTCTGTCTGTCTTGTGGAGCTGAAAGGTGTGTTATAGTATTGAGTAAATCAATCATATGATTCTTTTCCTTAATTAGATTCTAACAGTAATTCATCACCATAGAAATGTAGTGTCATCTAGTGACATGTGCAACTTTATTTTACATGTACATTTCCACTGTACCATTACTTACTGCTGCTTTGATTGTGACTGTGTTTTAGTTTGGAGTAGTTTCAGTGTTATATCATAATGGGCTTATTTACACTGAAGAAAACAATGTTTTTCAGCTTGACATTTCATAAGGAACTATAGCAGGGAAACTGGTGAACTATTAGATTGTATTTTACTAGGTGTTTCACTAAGTATTGCTCAGTCTTCTCAGGAATTTTCCCTTCCTTGCCTGGTGAAACCATGTGAAATTGTTTGTTTTTTCCTCTCAGAAAAATTATGTTTCCCACCCAATAATTGTTTATTTTATTTTTCATAGATACTTTGTGTCTGTCATCTAGGCTAGCGAAGTAACAACTCCTTTAACCCCAAGAAAAATAAATAGGGTTGGGTGCCCATGGCTCATGCCTGTAATCCTAGCTACTCAGGAAGCTGAGATCTGAGGATCTGAGTCAAAGCCATCCCGGGCAAGGAAAGTACATGAGAATCTTATCTCCGAAAAACCACCAGAAAACTGAAGTGGTGCTGTAGCTCAAGTGGTAGAGCACTCTCCTTGAGCTGAAGAGCTCAGGGACACTGCCCAGGCCCAGAGTTCAAGCCCCATGACCGACAAAATAAACAAATAAATTGGCCTAACATGGTTCAGCCAGCTGCTCAGGAAATGAAATTTTTTCCTTCTTGCTGTACTATTGTTTCTCCCTTTATTTTTGTTTCTTCAGAAGTCACTAGCTGCCATGCACAGGAGTTCAGAGTTTCTTCACTTTGTAAGGGAATGTTTGCATATTGTAGTTGGCAAAAGAATTTCATATTCACTGAAATTCTAGCATTGGAGGATACTTTCCTTCCTAGGGCAGAACTTCCCCTTTTGTATCTGTGTTTCACTTTATATTCAGGGACCCACTCCCTGTGCACAGAGACTGTGTGTGATTTCCTTAGTGCTGGGTACTCTCTCTGCTTCAGTCTCCTAAGAAATCTTTTCCTACCCTTCTTCACCTAGAAAGTTCTTTATGTTAAATCTTCATTTGAAAGATTGTATAATTTTCTCCACTCAGTCGTTAGTCTAAGTTTGAATAGTGAAACCCCTTTTTTTTTGGTCATTCAGAACATTCTTTGGATCCACCATCTCATTTCCTTCCATCATGCTGTTTTTATTGTATTTAACAGAGATATTCCCAAGGATTTAACCTGAAGGGCAGAATGATGTCAGAGATGAGAGTATGTGCTCAATATCACATTGAATGAGTTCACTAAGTTCTAAGGTGTGGGGTGTTTTTTTAATTATTCTAATGCGCTTGGCGTATTTTTAGTAGTTATTTACTTCCCTGTGGATTGTTTTATCTTTCCAGAACCTTTGCTAGAAGAAATTTAGAAGAGGTTAACAGAATTGATTACATAGAGAATAAATGTGAGGCCAAGTATGGTGCCACATGTTTGTAATCTCAGCCATCAGGAGGCTGAGGCAAGCAAACCTTGAGTTCCAGGCTGGCCTGGGCTATAAGGGAGACTACTCAAAAGATAAACACACAAGCAAACTCTTGTCATACAGTGTGTGTATGTGTGTGTGTGCATGCGCATGCGCATGCATGTACCTGTATTGGGACTTGAACTTAGGTCCTGGCACTCAAGGCTGGTGCGCTACCATTTGAGCCACAATTCTACTTCAGGCTTTTTCTTCTGGCTAATTGCTGCTAGAATCTCTCAGCCTCCCAAGCAGCTAGGATTATAGGCATGAGCCACCAGTACCCAGCTTGTCATTACAGTCTTTTAGTGTAGTGAATATATACTTATGGAGATCCTAGGGTCTGGCAGGGAAGCAAGACTAGCCCCTGCTGTCCAGGGTTTTGAAATGCCCTCCCCACCAAGAAAATCGGTATAAGCACACACAAAAAAATTTACAGAATGATACATGAACTCAAGATTGAGGCAATTAGTTATTGATGACAGCAAATGCTTATGTATGACAAGAGTTTATAAGATGAGTGGAAAGAACTTTGTGTTAACTACAGACACAGCTTAAACATGGACTTGAAATCATGTGTGTAGCTACAAGGCAGTCCCAGGCAGGTGATGACAGACTATGAAGCATTCTAACTTGAAGGTCATCAGTAAAATACTCTGTGCATCCTACAGCCATCTCTCATGCCCACCTGCTTGTTACCAGAAGCAGTGCCTTAAGCTGAGCACCAGTGGCTTACACCTGTAATTCTAGCTATTCAAGCCAGCTTGGGAAGGAAAATCTGTGAGACTCTTAATCTCCAATTAGCCAGCAACAAGCCAGACATGGAGCAGGGGCTCCAGTGATAGAGCACCACACTTGAATAGAAAGAGCTAAGTTCAGGCCCTAGTATTGGCACCAAAAGAAAAGAAACAGTGCCTGGTTCCAAACCACTAACGTGGGAAGGAACAGCCACCAACACTTGCAGTTAGGTGTACAGAGAAGTAGTTTAGCTTGAGCTGCCCAGCTGGATTCGCACATCTGCACTTGTCTTCCAAAAGACACTGCAATGTTTTCTGCTGCTGTGGAAATGTGCCCAGCTCCAATGCTTTGGGAGGAGATGACCTGATATAGACTTTCCTGTTTCAGAGTCTTGTGAAGCATCCGATTGCTTCTAGCATTTATTTTAGGAGACCTCTCCTAAGAAAGCAACCCCTGATGTTGGTGAATGTGTGCCTGAGGATGTTACATGACTGGGAACACATTGAGCCCATTCTCACTGGCTGCCCATTTGTGTTTCAGGCATCCTGATAAAAACAAAGACCCTGGGGCCGAAGACAAGTTCATTCAGATCAGCAAGGCTTACGAGGTATTGTCTCAGACTTTGTAATACCTCCATGAGTTCCCATCAAGTGTGCCTTAGGTAATCAGCTTTAGAATATTCTCTCTGAAACAGCAGATTCCCCAGGTTCTGACCCAGTTTCCACATGACAGTGAGCAGAACATATTTGGCCCCATCCAGCATATTGAAACAAGTATGTAAAGACTTCAGCTCTTGGAAAATCTGGCCTATTTTAAGGGCTCTAATTAGAATTGCGAAATTACCCAGCATATGTCTCTCTTACCATTTTAGGTAGATTTTTAAAGAATCACACATCAGCCAGGTGCCAATGGCCCACCCCTGTATCTTAATTACTTAGGAGGCTGAAATCTCAGAATCACAGTTCAAAGCCAGCCTGGACAGGAAAGTCTGTGAGACTCTTATCTCCAATTAACCACTAAAAAGCCCAAAATGGAGCTGTAGCATAAGTGGTAGAGCAATAACTTTGAGCACAAAGGGTCAGAGACAGCACCCAGGCCCTGAGTTCACGCCCCTGACCAGCACCAAAACAAACAAATGTGTTATACACTTTACATTTAGTCTTTCTGTGTCACTAAGCTGTTTACAGAAAAGCCTTTGGAGGCTGAAGATAGAGCTCGGTAGTAGAATATTTGCTTCGTATGCACAGAGCCCTCGGTTCGATTCCCAGCACCACAGAACAAAAGTCTTCTAGGTGAACCTCGTGGTTTACTTTGGATTCCTTATCTTTCTTTCTTCTTGGTAGATTCTTTCCAATGAAGAAAAGAGAACAAACTACGATCACTATGGGGATGCTGGAGAGAACCAAGGCTACCAGAAGCAGCAGCAGCGCGAGTATCACTTCCGCCATTTCCACGAAAACTTTTACTTTGATGAATCATTTTTCCACTTCCCTTTCAATTCGGAGCGACGGGACTCCATTGATGAAAAGTATTTATTGCACTTTTCCCACTATGTGAATGAAGTGGTGCCAGACAGCTTCCGGAAGCCCTACCTCATTAAGATCACCTCTGACTGGTGCTTCAGCTGCATCCATATTGAACCAGTCTGGAAAGAAGTCGTTCAGGAACTGGAAGGGCTGGGTGAGACCATTTTATTTAATTTATTGCTCTGTTTTCTAAGAGGGGAACTATATACAACCCATTTTCATTTTGAGTTTCTGATTTGAAGCTTTATATAGTGTCTAGAGGTCAAGCATCTATCTGAAGGCCTAATACATAGGCAAACTTGAAAATTATTAGTTGCGCCAGGTGCTAGTAGCTCATACTTGTAATTAGTTAATTAGGAGGCTGAGAATAGGAGGATCATAGTTTGAGGACATCTCACACAAGGAAGTCCATAGGACTCAATATATATCAGTGGAAGAAGCTGGACTTAGTTCATCTAGCTAGGTCAGGAATAAATAGGCAGATCAAGGTCCAGGCTGGCGTGGGCAGGAAGGACGACCCTATCTCAAAACTAACACAAAATAGGGGTGTGACTCAGGGATGGAGTACCTCCCTAGCAAATGGGAAACCCTGAATTCAAACCGCAGTTGCTACATCAAAATGCCACAGCTTTTGTGGCTTGAATCCATAAGTTTATTCTTTCCCAGTTTTAGAGGCAGAAAGTCCAAGACCAGAGTGTTAGTAGCTTTGGTTTCTTCTGGGGCCTCTTCCTGGTTTGCAGAAGCCAGCTTCACAGTATCTGGTGACATGGCCATCACTGATGCCAGTGTCTGGAATCTTTTGTCCTTTCCTCTTATTAGAATACCAATCACATTGAATTCAAGCCTGCCTTACGATCCATTTTAAAGGTCCGTTCTTTTTTTTTTTGGTCAGTTGTGGGGCTTGAACTCTGGGCTTGGGCACTGTCCCTCAGCTCTTCAGCTCAAGGCGAGCACTCTACTGCTTGAGCCACAGCGCCACTTCCGGTTTTCTAGTGGTTTATTGGAGATAAGAGTCTCACGGACTTCCCTTGCCCAGGCTGGTTTTGAACCACGATCCTCAGATCTCAGCCTCCTGAGTAGCTAGGATTACAGGCGTGAGCCACTGGTGCCCAGCTTTTCTTTCTTCTTTAAAGGCTTTTAGTTTAGGATGCCATAATAAAATACTGTAGTCTCGGGCTGGGAAGGTGGCTCATTGGTAGAGTGCTTACCTCGCATGCATGAGGCCCTGGGTTTGATTCCTCAGCACCACATAAATAGAAAAAGCCGGAAGTGGCGCTGTGGCTCAAATGGTAGAGTGCTAGCCGTGAGCTGAAGAACACAGGGAGAGCACCCAGGCCCAGAGTTCAAGCCCCACAACCAAAATATACATATAGTAGTCTAAGCCAGACGCCAGTGGCTCATGCCTATAATCCTAGCTACTCTGGAGGCTGAGATCTGAGGATTATGGTTCAAAGCCAGCCTAAGCAGAAAAGTGTGAGCCTCTCATATCCAGTTAACCATCAAGAAAGCCAGAAGTGGAGGTGCAGTTTAAGTGGTAGAGCACCTTGAGCAAAAAGCTAAGGGACAGCACCCAGGCATTGAGTTCAAACTTTAGTACCGGAACAAAAAAATAATTGACTAAAAGAATTAGTATTCCCTACTATCTCTCATTAGTAAAATAATTTCATAAGAAGAGGCATGTTCTCAAGGACAAGAGGACTGTGCCTTTCTTCTCTCCTGTTGGTAAGCCCTAGGTTGGTTGTTTTATTTTGAGTTGTTTACCATTGCTGAGTTGTCAGACCCCTTGATCATCCACAGATTTTTAATTTTTTTTCTTTTCTTTTTTTTTCTTGCTGGTTGTGGGGCTTGAACTCTGGGCCTGGGCGCGGTCCCTCAGATCTTCAGCTCAAGGCTAATGCCCTACCACTTGAGCCACAGCACCACTTCTGGCTTTTTTCTGCTTATGTGGAGCTGAAGAATCGAACCCAGGGCCTCATGCATGCAAGGCAAGCACTCTACCAGTGAGCCACCTTCCCAGCCCAGATTTTTAGTTCTTTTAAGTAAAAATACCACTCTTACTTCATTTAAATTATTTTCTCATGATTTGCTCCCCAAATTAGAAGTCACAGGCTGAAGGAATATTGTAATACTGCCAGAATGAAAGCCAGAGGTGGTAGCACATCCTGTAATGCCAGCACTCAAGGAGACTGAGATAGGAGGATCATGACTTTGAAGTTAGTCTAGGCCACATAGTTAGATCTTATCTCAGGAAAAATAAATTTCTTTTTTTATCAGATTGCTTTGCAGAAACACTGAACAGTGCAGACTTCCTGCAAGGAACAGATCTGGGCAGTCTTAGCACTATATTCCCTCCTGTGTGGTTGGCTTTAATTTTACCCTGAAAAAATTACGCATTGGCATTTCTTCCACTTGTCCTGGGGTGCCAAGCAGCTTCAAGTAGCTCTTCTGTATTTTGCAGGTGTGGGAATTGGTGTCGTCCATGCAGGCTATGAGAGGCGCCTGGCCCATCACCTGGGAGCCCACAGCACACCCTCCATCCTGGGGATCATAAACGGGAAAGTCTCCTTTTTCCACAATGCGGTAGTCCGGGATAACCTCCGGCAGTTTGTAGAAAGCCTTCTTCCAGGGAACTTGGTGGAGAAAGTAAGTGTCTATAGAGGAGAATGTGGATAGCTAGCTGACTCCCCCAAACTGTGTCTGTGACCTCTCAGACCTGACTTCCACTGAGCACAGCCACAACACATATTAATGAATTAATTATTCACACTGAATCATTTAAATCATAGGCAGTAGGAAACTGAAGACTAAAGCAGGTAAGGTGGAAGCTGAAAGAATGCCTTGGTGTAAATTGCCATCTGGCAGATTTCTCCTTCATTGGAATCTGAACTGAAAACAGCAGTGACTAGCCCAGCGCTGGTGGCTCATGCCTAATCCTAGCTATTCAGGAGGCTGAGATCTAAGGATCATTGGTCAAAGCCAGCCTGGGCAGGAAAATCCGTTAGACTCTTATTTCTAATTAACCACCAAAAAAACAGAAGTGGAGCTATGGCTCAAAGTGGTAGAGTGCTAGCCTTGAGCAAAAAAGAGCTTAGGGACAACTACATCGCCCAGACCCCAAACTCAAGCCCCATTATCCACAAAAACAAACAACAAAAAAAACACTCCCAAACAACAAATTAGTTCAGGGCAGACATTGGTGGTTCAGGCCTGTAATCATAACTAAGGAGGTTGAGGTCTGAGTTCAAAACCAACCCCATGGGCTGGGAAGGTGGCTCAGTGGTAGAGCGCTTGCCTTGCATGCATCATGCCCTGGATTGGATTCCTCAGCACCACATAAGCAAAAAGAAAAAAGCCGGAAGTGGCACTGTGGCTCAAGTGGTAGAGCTCTAGCCTTGAGCTGAAGAGCTGAGGGACAGCACCCAGGCCCAGAGTTCAAGCCCCATGACCGGACCCAAAAAAAAAAAAAAAAGCCAACCCACATGCTGGGCACCAGTGGTTCACACCTGTAATCCTAGCTACTCAGGAGGCTAAGATCTGAGGATCTCGGTTCAAAGCCAGCCCGGGCAGGAAAGTGTGTGAGACTCATCTCCAGTAAACCACTAGAAAACCAAAAGTGGCTCTGTGCTCAAGTGGTAGAGCACTTGCCTTGAGCTGAAGAGCATAGGGACAGTGCCCAAGCCCAGAGTTCAAGCCCCACAACCGACAAAAAAAAAAAAAAAAAAAAACCCACACAGTAAAGTCTATGAGACTTTTATTGCCAATTCACCACCAAAAAGCCAGGAGTGGTGCTTTGGCTCAAGTAGTTGAGCATTCAGAGCCTTGAGTTCAAGCCCCAGTATCAGCAAAGGAAAAAGAGAGAGAAAGAGAGTTAAATTCTGAGATTAATGTTTTATTTCCAATTTAAGGTTACAAGCAAAAATTATGTCAGATTCCTCACTGGCTGGCAGCAAGAAAATAAACCTCATGTCCTTCTGTTCGACCAGGGACCCTCAATACCGCTGCTCTATAAGGTATTTCACACGCTGGGAGGATGGTCTGGATTTTTTGGTGGAAAGTTGGAACATCTTTTTTGTAAATAGAAGTTGAGCATCCCTAATACAGAAACCCAAAGACTGAAGTTTTCTGAGTGTTAACATGGTACCATAAGTAGAAAATCATATAGGTGACTGACCTTATATCACAGTCAGAATGCAGGCACACTGAAAATGCTGTATAAGATTCCATCAGGGGGGCTGGGAAGGTGGCTCAGTGGTACAGTGCTTGCCTTGCATGCCTGAGGCCCTGAGTTCGACTCCTCAGCACCACATAAGCAAAAAGAAAAAAGCTGGAAGTGGCGCTGTGGCTCAAGTGGTAGAGCGCTAGCCTTGAGCTGAAGAGCTGAGGGACAGCGCCCAGGCCCAGAGTTCAGGCCCCATGACCAGACCCCCCCCCCCAAAAAAAAAAAAAGATTCCCTCAGGTCCTGTGTACAGGGTGTGTGTGAAGCAAATGAATTTTGTGATTGGACTTGGTTTCATTCCCAAGATAACTCATTATGAGTGTACTAAGAAACTGAAACACTTCATCTTGAGCATCAGGATGAGAGATTCTCAGCATCTAATAGTTTCAAACATGAGGAAGACTCAAAGCCAGAAACTTTATTGTCCTGCCACTGCCTTCAGAAGTCACTGAATCCTCAGCAACACCTAGTGACAGGGTCTTAGACCAAGACAGGTACACATGCATACATATATAGGTGTACAGCGGCCATGCAACGTGCCCAGGGTCTCGCTGCACTGCTTTGTGGTGAGTACATGACGCCCCTGCAGCCTGTGTACCCCTACACCACAACTCCAGCACACCTCATTGTACTGTGACATGGGTGGGAGAGGATTGTCCTGCATCAATGCCCCGACACTCCATGGCTCACACCCATGTTCAGTAAATGATTATTTTGCTTTCTCTCTAAAAGAAGGAATGAGGTGGTGTTTACCTCTGTAGCTGCAAAGCTACAGAACTCCTGGATGGGTATGAGGTATATTGGTGGGTCTTCACCCCAGTGTGGATGTGAATGGGTCCTATTTTCCTTGTAAGTAAAGTACCATGCTACCGACTTTACTTTCTTCCTCTCCTTTTTGCCCTCACAGTTGACTGCTTTTGCATACAAAGATTACTTATCATTTGGGTATGTGTATGCTGGCTTTCGAGGGGCTGAGGAGATGGCAAGACAGTACAATATCAATGTCCAGGCCCCCACCATCCTCATCTTCAAGGAGCACATAAACAAGCCAGCTGACATGATCCAGGTATGTCAAGCCTTCATGCCACTAAGCAGTAAAATGAGCAGAGCAGCAAGTGCCAGTGACTCACCCCTGCAATCCCAGCTATGTAGGAGACTTGAGTGGGGAAGATTGTAATTAGAGGCATCCTAGGCATATAGGAGACCCTTTTTTTAACCAGTAGCTGGGTGCTATGATACCTGTCTGCCATCCCAGCTGCATAGAAGGTTAAGATTGGTGGAAGGGAGTTCCAGGCCAAGCTAGGCAGCTAAGTCCTCAAGGCTCCGTATCAGGAGAAGAAGCTGGGAGTGGTATTGTACACCTGTCAATCCCAGCTAGGACAGGAAGCCTAAAATAGGTGGATCACAGTCCAGGCATGCACTTAGGCATTTTTGGCATTTTGAGTGTTGTATATGAAACCAGAATTTTCCCCATTACCTCTTCTGGTTTTTTATTGTTGTTTTTATTGGTCATGGGGCTTTACTGTCCCTAAGCTTTTGTGCTAACAGGGCCTCACTTTTGTTAGGCATTCTACCCTTGAGCCACTCCTGCAGCCCCTTTTTGCATTGGTTATATTCAAGGTAGAGTTTCGCTTAATGCCAGGTCAGTCTGGACTGTGATCTTCCTTTTGCTTCCCTATATTGCTGGGGATGACTTTTTAGTCATTCAGAAATAGTTGTGATATCTGATAGGAAAAAATCTGTTCAGTGTGATTTGGCTTTTGGACAAGATCTCTCTTCTTTTGGCCGTCCTAGGGCTTGAACTTAGTGCCTGGGCTCTGTCCCTGAGCCTCTTGCTGCTCAAGGCTACCACTCTATTACTTGAGCCACAGTGCCACTTCGGGCTTTTTCTGTTTATGTGGTATTGAGAAATGGAACCCAGGGCTTAATGCATGCCAGGCAAGCACTCTACAACTAAGCCACCTTCCCAGCTCTGGATAAGATCTTTTTTTAAAAAAACAATTTTTTTTTTTGGGTCCGGTCATGGGGCCTGAACTCTGGGCCTGGGCGCTGTCCCTCAGCTCTTCAGCTCAAGGCTAGCGCTCTACCACTTGAGCCACAGCGCCACTTCCGGCTTTTTTTCTTTTTGCTTATGTGGTGCTGGGGAATCGAACCCAGGGCCTGATGCACGCAAGGCAAGCGCTCTACCACTGAACCACCTTCCCAGCCCTAAAAAAAATTTTTTTTTATTGAGATTGATTACATAAATGTCACAAATTTCACAGTATTGTGGGATAGTGATACTTAAAGTCACAAACACGTTTTAACATTCACAAGGCAAATTGTCCTCATCAATGGTCTATAACGTTTGTGAATTCTATGAGCTTTGACATGGGGTAATATGTACATTTCTTTCCTTTTCCTTAGTGTAAGCTGTTCCTCTTAAAAAAAAAAAAAAAAAAAAGCAACACACACAACTACCTTGGCTATTCTGGGTCTTTGGTAATTCTTTTTGTATATATTTTAAATTCCAGCAGGTTGGGGTTGGGAAGGTGGCTCAGTGGTAGAGCACTTGCCTTGCATGCCTGAGGCCCTGGATTCGATTCCTCAGCACCACATAAGCAAAAAGAAAAAAGCCGGAAGTGGCGCTGTGGCTCAAGTGGCAAAGCGCTAGCCTTGAGCTAAAGAGCTGAGGGACAGTGCCCAGGCCCAGAGTTCAGGCTCCACGACTGGACCCCCAAAAAAATAAAAATAAATAAAATAAAAATTCCAGCAGGTTACATCGAATCAAAGCAAAAAACTACTTGTGTTTATTTTAGCTCATTAAGTCACTTAGCCATGCAGAAAAATCAAGGCCTTCTATCCAGTGGACATGATGTACCTACTCCATTCGTTTAAGTCATTTGTACATCTCAATAGGTATTACAGTTTCTCTGTAAAAATCAGCTAAATGCTGATGGCATTCAGGTAGCTGAGATCTGAGGATTGCAGGTCAAAGCCAGCCTGAGCAGGAAAGTCTAAGAGACTCATTGCCAATTAACCACCAAAAAGCCAGAAGTAGAGCTATGGCTCAAATGGTAGAGTGCTAGCTTGGAACCCCAAAGCTCAGGGACAGCCCCCAGGCTCTGAGTTCAAGCTGCCTCGAGACCAGCACACACGAGCGCACACACACACACACACACACACACACACACACATCACATCACATCACATCACATCACATCACATCACATCACATCACATCACATATTTCTGCCTAGCAAGCACACTGAGCTAAAACACCACTACTTCCATATTGATATGATTAAATTATATTTTATCAGCCTATTTCTAGGAACCTCATCTTTTTATACTGTTAAAAAGAACATCATCTTGGGGCTGGGAAGGCGGTTCAGTGGTAGAGCGCTTGCCTTGCATGCATGAGGCCCTGGGTTCGATTCCTCAGCACCACATAAACAAAAAGAAAAAAGCTGGAAGTGGCGCTGTGGCTCAAGTGGTAGAGCGCTAGCCTTGAGCTGAAGAGCTGAGGGACAGCACCCAGGCCCAGAGTTCAGGCCCCACGACCGACAAAAAAAAAAAAATCAATTGCAGGGCTGGGAATGTGGCTTAGTGGTAGAGTGCTTGCCTAGCATGCATGAAGCCTTGGTTTGATTCTTCAGTACACATAAACACAGAAATCTGGAAGTGGACTATGGCTCAAGTGGTAGCATGCTAGCCTTGAGAGAAAAAAAAAATCAGTTGCATTACTTTACCCAACAGAAAATTTAAGAAATGCTCTTTTTTTTTTTTTTTGGGGGGGGGTGTCCGGTCGTGGGGCCTGAACTCTGGGCCTGGGTGCTGTCCCTCAGCTTTTCAACTTAAGGCTAGCGCCCTATCACTTGAGCCACAGTGCCACTTCCAGCATTTTTTCTCTGCTTATGTGGTGCTAAAACCCAGGGCCTCATTCATGTGAGGCAAACACTCTACCACTGAGCCAACTTCCCAGCCCCCTGCAATTGATTTTTAAATATTGACTTTGACTTATCACCCCAGCTATGTGAGAAGTGGAGATCAGGATGATTGAAGTTCAAGGCCAGCTCAGGCAAAAAGTTCATGAGATCCTACCCCAACCAATACACAGGTCATGGCAGTATATATGTGTCACTCCAGCTACAGGGGAACTGTAACTATGAGAATCGCTGTCGGCTAGCCTGGACAAAAACTGAATCTTTTTTATTTTTATTTTTTGGCCAGTCCTGGGGTTTGAACTCAGCCAGATTCCCAGCCTGAAAACTTGAGTCTTAAGGAAACACTTTGTGATTACTTTTATCATTATGTAACTGTAACAAGTTTTTCTTTTGTTTCAGATTTACATATTTTTTAGAAATTACTCCTATCTAATTTTTCAAATTGAAGTAACTTTTTTTCTTCCAACTTCTGCAACATTTGCGAGCCATTCCATGATAATAGTTTCTTCTATTTCTTTTTCTTTCTTTCTTTTTGGCTAGTCTAGGGGCTTGAACTTAGGGCCTGGGCACTGTACTTGAGCTTCTTGTTTTGTTTTGTTTTTGCCAGTCGTGGGGCCTGAACTCTGGGCCTGGGTGCTTTCCCTCAGTTCTTCAGCTCAAGGCTAGCACTCTACCACTTGAGCCACAGCACTACTTCTGGCTTTTTTTGCTTCTGTGGTGCTGAGGAATCGAACCCAGGGCCTCATGCATGCAAGGCAAGCGCTCCACCATTGAGCCACCTTCCCAGCCCCAAATGAGTACATTTCTTATCAAGTATTATAACCTCCTCCTTTGTTTCTCCTTCCCATCCCTTCCCATCCTTTCCCCCTCTTATACCATTTCTTTTGGCTTTTCAAACAACCAAATTTGGATTTGTGAATTCTTCTTTTTACCTTTATATTTTTGGGCTTTTTGTTGGTATTGTTTTAACTCGACATGGATGCTTAGTTTGTTGTTGTTGTTGACTATATTTTACTACTTTTTTTTTTCTGGTCCTTTGGCTTGAACTCTGGGCCTGGGCACTGTCCCTGAGCTCCTTTTGCTTAAGGCTAGCACTCTTAACACTTGAGCCACAGCACCACTTCTGGCATTTTCTGTGATTTATTGGAGATAAAAGTCTCACATTTCCTGACCAGTCTGGCTTCAAACCATGATCCCCAGACCTCAGTCTCCTGAGTAGCTAGGATTACAGGTGTGAGCCACCAGTGCCCAGCTTTACTAATTAATTTTTAATTGTGGCTGTTTTTCGGAACAAAGTCTCACTATTTTATCCAATCAGGCATTGAATTCCTGGACTCTAGCTGTCCTGGCACCTCAGCCCCCAAGTAACTGGGACCAAAACTTCATGTAGCTTAATATTATTTTTTAATTTTTTTATTGTAAAGATACTATACAGAGGGTTACAGTTACATGAGTGAGGTAATGAGTACACTTCCTCTTGAACATTGTTACCCCCTCCATTGTTTTCCCCCTACCATCCCTTTCCTCCCTACCTTCCCCGAGGTTCTTTTTTTTTTTTTTTTTTTATTGTGATTAAGTGATTACATAATTTCTGGAATTTCACAGTATTGTGGAATAATGATGCTCATTTAAAGTCACAAGTTCATTTTAACTTCCTGGAGCAAATTGTCTATCACAGTCTGTAATATATAACAGTGTTCACATGTTATATACCATATTTGTGTAGTTTAGTAGTGGGGATATTTAGTAGTTGTTCGACCAGATGAGTGGGAGTTCTTTGTTTCTTAAGTCCTGTTAGTTTTGTCGTATCACCTAACATTTTGGATTTAGCATCCACTTATCAGGGAGACCATGTACCGTTTGTCTCTTCGCTCTTGGCTTACCTCGCTCAACATGATTCCTTCTAGCTCCATCCATTTCCCTGCAAATGCCATTATTTTGTCATTTCTAATAGCTGCATAATACTCCATTGTGTATAGATACCACAATTTTTGGATCCATTCATCTGTGGTGGGGCATCTGGGTTGTTTCCATATCCTAGCTATTGTGAACAGTGCTGCAATAAACATGGAGGTGCACGTGTCCTTGTATATCGGTTCCTGTTGTTCAGGGTAGATGCCTAGAAGTGGTATGACTGGGTCGTAAGGGAGGTCAATCTTTAGCTTTCTAAGGACCCTCCAGACTGCTTTCCAAAGTGGTTGTATAAGTGTACATTCCCACCAGCAGTGTAATAGGGTTCTTCTTTCTCCACATCCCCTCCAGCATTTGTCGTTGGCTGATTTGTGGATGTGGGACATTCTGACTGGGGTAAGGTGGTATCTCAGGGTTGTCTTTATTTGCATTTCCTTCACCACCAGGGATGATGAACATTTCCTCATGTGTTTCTTTGCCATTTTTATTTCTTCATTTGAGAAGTCCCTCTTTAGTTCCCTTGCCCATTTAGTAATTGGTTTGTTAGGTTTGGGAGGGATTAGTTTCTTGAGTTCCCTGTATATACAGGATGTTAACCCCTTGTCTGATATATTGCTGGTAAATATTTTTTCCCAACTAGTTGGTTGTCTTTCTAGCTTAGTTGCGATAGATTTAGCTGTGCAGAAGCTTTTTATTTTAAGGTAGTCCCATTTGTCGAGTCTCTCTCCAACTTGTTGTGACCCTGGGACTCTGTTCAGGAAGTTCCTTCCTGTGCCTATTAGTTCAAGTGTTTCTCCTACTCTGTCCTGCAGTAGTTTCAGAGATTCAGGTTTAATGTTAAGGTCTTTAATCTATTTTGAGTTGATGTTGGTGCATGGTGATAGGCTAGGGTCCACTTTTAGTTTTCTGCATGTGGCCGCCCAGTTTTCCCAGCACCAGCGGTTGAAGAGGCTGTGTTTCTTCCATTGTATGTCTTTGGCTCCTTTGTCGAATATCAGCTGGCTGTAGGCCTGTGGATTTATTTCTGGATCTTCTATTCTGTTCCATTGGTCTTCGGGTCTGTTTTTGTGCCAGTACCATGCTGTCTTTGTTATTATAGCTCTGTAGTAGAGTTTGAAGTTCGGCATGGATAGCCCTCCCATATTGTCTTTATCCCCTAGAATTGTTTTGGCTATTCTAGGTCTTTTGTTGTTCCATATGAATTTTAGCTCAATATTATTTTAAGATTAACCTCCAAGCGCTACTACCTCTGTATCTCAAAGCTTGATAAATAGTATTTATCTGGTAAGTACTCAGGGTTTGGATGAGTGAATGAATCAAAAACCTATCCAATGTTAGAAAACCTACTTCTTAGATCAGTGGCTTATTCAAAATATGTTTCTTAATTTCCAAGTATAGGTAAGTGCTTTGATTTAATTAAGTACAAGCATTCCCTTACTTGGCTATATGGTTGATGTGTCATTATTTTTAGTAAGAATGGAGGCAAAATGCATTCCCATGGGCTGTTTCTACATGGTGGAGGGACAAGAGCTTCTTGATTTTTCTTGGTTTCCCCGTAGGCGCGCGGGCTAAAGAAGCATGTCATTGATGACTTCATCACCCAGAACAAGTACTTATTGGCAGCCCGTCTCACCAGCCAGAAGCTCTTCCATGAACTCTGCCCTGTGAAGCGCTCTCACCGACAGAGGAAGTAAGAACACGGAGCTTGGCCCAGTACAGGGCCTACTCCTACAGGACAGTTCAGCATCACCCTGGGATCCAATTGGTTCCTCAGCCACTGAGTAATGGCTGACTGAGAGGTTAGGGGTAGATAGGTCCAAATTGTTGAATGATCAAGCCTGGCATTAGAGAGGCCATCGAGATGCAGATCATCAGAGTCTTCAGAGTCCAGAAGGCTTGGTTGGTAAAGCCTGGAGTGACAGCTATCCCTGCTACAACATTTCACTCATGCTGAGCCTCTGCGAGTCTTGCAGAGGATCCAGGAAAGGGAGATCACTGAGGACATGATAAATAACAATGGGGAATTGAAAGATCAAGGCATACATATTCAATACAAAGTATTATTACACAGTCTCTGAAAAGCCTGGAAATACAGGGAAACATTTATTGTACCTTCTCAGACTGATGGATTAGGGGTTCTCAACTTATGGCTATGTCATACATAAAAGATATCTGGACCAGCAGTCGCCAGCAGCACACACCTGTAATCTCTGAAGGGCCTCGTTCAGGCCAGTCTATGCTCTCGTGACTCATTTAATTCAGGTCTCGGCTCAACATTCCCCTGACCAATCTGTCTGTCAAAATATGATTTCCACCCACACTGGCCTCTCTCTTCTTTCTCCTCTTCTTTTTGTCATAGCACTGTGGTTAGCTATTAGGAGATAGCCATTTATTTATTTAACACCTAGCTTCTTCTCTAGACTGACTTCCACAAGGGCAGGAAAGCAGTCTGGTTTATATAGTAAGTGTGTAGAGTAAGTTTTGGCATATAGTAGTACTTGATAAGTATTTGGTTGGATGGATGGATGAATGAATGAATGACTAAGCTTCCAATATGACTCGCAGGGGCTGGGAAGGTGGCTCAGTGGTAGAGCGCTTGCCTTGCATGCATGAGGCCCTGGGTTCGATTCCCCAGCACCACATAAGAAAAAAAAAAAAAACTCCTGATATGACTCGCAAAGGAAATGGACCTTCAGTAACACAAAAAGCCCCTTAAAAAAAGGCCAAGCTGGAGTTGGGTTTGGGGGAACACCAGCGTTCGGGAAAAGGAGAGGGTCACTGGTGAGTTGGGAGTCTCCTTTCCGTCCGCTATATATGACAGCTTTCACTGGCAGTCTGTACAACGGGAGGGGTCTCCCCTTCTTCTCTCCACTGGCCTTCTGCATCCTGGGCCTGTCCCAAGATCGGGTGTAACCTGCTCTCTTTTGCTTGTGCAGGTACTGTGTGGTCTTGCTGACTGCAGAGGCCACCAAGATGAGCAAAGCCTTTGAGGCCTTCCTGTCCTTCGCCTTGGCAAACACACAAGACACAGTGAGATTTGTGCACGTGTACAGTGGCCGGCAGCAGGAATTCGCCAGCACCCTGCTCCCCAACAGCGAGGCATTTCAGGGGAAGTCAGCGGTGAGCCCTAATTCTCCTGACGCTATGCTCTTTTCAAGACCTGGCCCTCTGTTCCATTTAATCTGGAAAGCTTGAAGAGGTGTTCTGGCAGCCTCCTAGGACAGCCGTCTTTCACATCCAGAGATGTATTGCGGCCTCTGCAGAGAGGGCTGGTACCAGGGCTTGAACTCAGGACCTTATGCTCTCTTCCCTTTGTTTTTAACTTAAGGCTGGCCTGTACTCCTTGAGCCACACCTCCCTTCCACCTTTTTGCTCGTTTGTTCAAGATGAGAGTCTCTCAGATTTGTCTGCCGGGTCTGGCTTTGAACCACAGTCCTCAGTCCTCAGCCTGTGATTAGCATTACAGGCACGAGGCATAGCACCTGGCGGACCTTATGTCAGATCAGTTCTGGCAGGTCCCAGATGGATGCCAGATTGTTCCAGATCTTCAGGCCACTGATAATGATCGTGCTTTGGAAATCCACCCCCTAGTGCCTCTTCCATGTCATCTTACTGGATCTCCTTCTTTTCCCTGCTTTGTCATCACTCCTTTTGGATCATGAGTCTTTTCTGGGGTCAGGGATGTGGTCAGTGTAGAGCAAGGCCCTGGGCTCCATCATCAGCCCTGCAAACAATTCTTCTGTCTCTGAGGTCATTTTGGAAATCATGGAAAAATCTCTATAAAACAAAGGTTTCAAGCCGGGCGCTGGTGGCTCACGCCTGTAATCCTAACTACTCAGGAGGCTGAGATCTGAGGATTTCAGTTCAAAGCCAGTCCAAGCAGGAAAGTCCGTGAAACTCTTATCTCCAATAAGCCACCAGAAAACCAGAAGTGGCACTGTGGCTCAAGTAGTAGAGTGCTTGATTTGAGCTGAAGAGCTGAGGGACAGAGCCCAGGCCCAGAGTTCAAGCACCCCAACCAAAAAAACACAAAGACTTCCTTTCTTGAAAAATCCACATTAAGTCAGAAGTTATAGAACAAAGTGTTTTGGGGGTGGGGGTGGGGGAAGGCCTTGCTAGGCCCCTGTGGCTCACACTTGTAATCCTAGCTACTCAGGATGCTGAGATCTGAGCATCGCGGTTCAAAGCCAGCCCGGGCAAGAAAGTCTGTGAGACTCTTATCTCCAATAAACCACCAGAAAACCGAAAGTGGTGCTGTGGCTCAAGTGGTGGAGTACTTGCCTTGAGCTGAAGAGCTCAGGGACAGTGCCCAGGCCCCTTGACTGACCAAAAAAAAGGCCTTAAAAGTAATTGCTTTCAGAGGTTGGGACCAAAGGATCTCTTGACCCTAGGAATTCAACACCACACTGAGCAACTTAATGAGACTCTATCTCATTAAACAGTAATGTTAATTTCTTCTGTCAGAAATTTTTCATTCAGTGTTGGGGATATGGTTCAGGTGGTAGAGCACCTGCCTAGCAAGCACAAGGCCCTGAGTTCAAACCTCAGTTCTGCCCCCTAAAAAAGAAAAAATATTTCAGTCTCTGCAAATATTTTAGTTTCCTTAACATTTATATTTGAGCATATTGCTGATTTCTAAACAGCTATAGCACACTTTTGAGACTTCTCTTTTGGTTTTTGGGTTTTGGAGGGCTTTTATTTTTATGAAGCAGTCTACCTATGCAGTCCAGGCTGGCCTTGAACCTGTGATCCTCCCAACTGTCAATTGCTAGGCTTACAGGTATGTGCTAGCACACCTGGCTGCTTTTGAGATTTGTGATGGTTTTCTTCTGTTCTCACAGGTGTCTATATTAGAAAGGCGCAACACAGCTGGAAGGGTGGTGTATAAAACGCTGGAAGACCCCTGGACCGGGAGTGAAAGTGACAGATTTGTCCTTCTGGGTTACCTTGACCAGCTGCGGAAAGATCCAGCCCTTCTGTCCTCAGAGGCTGTGCTTCCAGAGTTGATGGATGAGCTTGCCCCTGTGAGCATCCTGGCCTCAGATCTTGGAGGGGAGGCTGGCCGCCCGGCTCTGCTGACAGCTCTGTGTCAGGCTGAAGCTCTCCCTCTGCATTCAGTCCTGACTGACCATCTCGCTTTCTCTCCCGACAGATGTTCCTCTTGCGGTGGTTCTACTCTGCCTCAGACTACCTCGAAGACATCTGGGATAGCGTGTTTCACAACAACTGGTAGGAAGATAGCTAGCGAGGGTTGCTTTCTGGGTTGATTTCAGCCTTTTCATTTATCTTTTGGGAAGAGCCCATCCTGTGGATGTCAGTGGGAAAATGATGGTACATTTCCAACAGCTGCTCTCTTTCAGTAATTTAATTGGACTTTTTTTTTTTTTTTTTGTAGTAGAGAGTTTGAATTCAGGGCCTCACACACTTAGTAGGCAAGTGTTTGCTACTTGGAACACACCTTTAGTCCTTATTGCTTTACATTATTTTTTCAGTCTCATGCTTTTTACTTTTCTTCTTTCTTTTGTGCTAGTTCTGGACCTTTTTTTTTTTTTTGGTCAGTCATGGAGCTTAAACTCTGGGCCTAGGCGCTGTCCCTTAGCTCTTCAGCTCAAGGGTAGCACTCTACCACTGGACCCACCATACCACTTCTGGTTTTCTGGTGGTTAATTGAAGATCAGAGTCTCACATACTTTCCTGCCTGGTCTGGCTTCAAATATCAATCCTCAGATCTCAGCCTCCTGAGTAGCCAGGTTACAGGCATGAGTCACCACTGTCCACCTCTAGTTCTGAGTCTTACAGGGTCTGGGTACCACTCCTTGGCTTTTTCACTAAAGGGTACCAGGCTATTGCTTGAGCCACAGCTCCACTTCTGGGTTTCTGCTGGTTAATTGGAGATAAGAATCTCATAGGAGATTTGTGAATCAAAGCCAGCCTGGGAAGGAAAGTCCATGAGACTCTTTTTTTTTTTTGTCGGTCGTGTGGCTTGAACTCTGGGCCTGAGTGCTGTCCCTCAGTTCTTCAGCTCAAGGCTAGCACTCTACCACTTGAGCTACAGCGCCACTTCCAGTTTTCTGGTAGTTTATTGGAGATAAGAGTTTCACAGACTGGGGCTGGGAAGGTGGCTCAGTAGTAGAGCGCTTGCCTTGCATGCATGAGGCCCTGGGTTCGATTCCTCAGCACCACATAAGCAGAAAAAGCTGGAAGTGGTACTGTGGATCAAGTGGGAGAGTGCCAGCCTTGAGCTAAGACCTGAGGGACGGCACCTAGGCCCAGAGTTCAGGCCCCATGACTGACAAAAAAAGTGTTTCACGGACTTTCCTGCCCGGGCTGGCTTTGAACCGCGACCCTCAGATCTCAGCCTCTTGAGTAGCTAGGATTACAGGCGTGAGCCTCTGGCGCCCGCCAGTCCATGAGACTCTTATCTCCAATTAACCACCAGAAAACCTGAAGTGAAGCTGTGGCTCAAAGTGGTAGAATGCTAGCCTTGAGCAAAAGGAGCTCAGGGACAGCATCTAGGCCCTGAGTTCAAGCTCCACAACAAAAGAAAAAAATCTCATAGACATTCCTGCCTAGGCTGGTTTTGAACCATAATCCTCAGATCTCTGCTTCCTAAGTAGCTAGGATCACAGGTGTAAGCCACCAGCACCTAGCTTTAGTCCTGTACTTTTTTTTACCCAGGGCTAGGGTTGGCCCATAGTCATCTTTGTGTGTCTCCCATGTAGCAGGAATTGCTTTATATTCAATGACTATTCCTTTCTGCAGGTTGGGGAAGGGTACCCCAGCTGTACCCCAGGTGGACTTCTAGAAAGCAAAGCTTGGGCCAGGCACCAGTGGCTCATGCCTGTAATCCCAGCTACTCAAGAGGCTGAGATCTGAGGATCTCAGTTCAAAACCAGCCTGGGAAGGAAAGTCTGTAATGCTCTTATCTCCAATAAACCACCAGAAAACCAGAAGTGGCACTGTGGCTCAAGTGGTACAGCACTCGCCTTGAGCTAAGGGACAGTGCCCAGGCCCAGTGTTCAAGCCCCACAACCGACAAAAGGAAGGGAGGGGGGGCTGGGAAGGTTGCTCAGTGGTAGAGCGCATGCCTTGCATGCCAGAGGCCCTGGGTTCGATTCCTCAGCACCACATAAGCAAAAAGAAAAAAACCAGAAGTGGTGCTGTGGCTCAAGTGGTAGAGTGCTAGCCTTGAGCTGAAGAGCTGAGGGACAGCACCCAGGCCCAGAGTTCAGGCCCCATGACCAGACCCAAAAAAACAAAACAAAACAAAAGGAAGGGAGGGAAGGAAGGAAGGAGCTAGGCTTCAGTGGCCCATGCTTGTAATCCTATCTACTCAGGAGGCTGAGATCTGAGGATCGGGCAGGAAAGTCTGTGACAGAGACTTATTTCCAGCTAAAAGCCATAAATGAAGCTGAGATTCAAGTGGTAGATCACCAGCCTTGAGTAAAACAGTCAAGTGCAAATTCCAGGCCCAGAGTCCAAGCCCCAGTACTGGCATAAAGTAAGATGAATAACATAAACTAAAACAATTATATAGGATTTTTTTTTGGTCATGGGGCTTGAAATCTGGGCCTGGGTGCTGTCCCTCAGCTCTTTCAGCTCAAGGTTAGTGTTCTACCACTTGAGCCACAGCGCCACTTCTGGATTTTTCTGTTTATGTGGTACTGAGGAATCAAACCCAAGGCCTCATGCATGCAAGGCAAGCACCTTACTGCTGAGCCACCTTCCCAGCCCCTATATAGGAAATTTTGAAAGCTTGACTTTCACCCCTCTGTTCCCTGCTCCACTATTCTGTGCTGGCTGATACTGTCCAAAAAAGGGCTAGAAGGATGGCTCAAGTGGAGGAACACTTGCCTAGCAAGCGTTAGGCCCTGAGTTCAATCCCCCATACTGCCCCAAATAAGAAAATCAGTGAAACTGAGTTCATTCACCAGAATGTTGTTCAGTGCTTCCCCAGCATCAGGAGGTTGGTCCATGAGTAGAGCATAACTGCCTTGTGACCCTTCTTACCACATGGGCAGCTCACTCTGATAATGCCAACATGCAAAACTAGACTTCTGGGATCAGGACTGTGGTTAGAACCCTAAGGAAACAGTCTGCCTCCCCTTCACCATCCCAAGTAGCCTGTTTAGGGGGCAGTGTTTATCGATGTACAAGCTTCTTAACTCCCAGCCCCTGAGGCGCTAACGCAGCGGTGTGCTTGTTCCAGGCGGGAGATGATGCCCCTGCTGTCACTCATCTTCTCGGCCCTCTTCATCCTCTTTGGCACCGTCATCGTCCAGGCTTTCAGGTAAGTGCCTCAAACCTTCACAGTCATTCATGCTTTCCTTTCCTCCTTTTTAAGACCTTGCACTCTAACTTGGCTTTCTTGCTCCTTAGCTGGTACTCTTACTATTTGAGCAATGCCTCCAGCCCAACTTTTTGCTCATTAGTGATAGAGTCTTTTGGACATTTCTCCCCAGGCTGGCTTCAAGCGATAATTGTCAGATCTCAGTGTCATGGGTATCTGTGATTTAGGGGTGAGTCCCTGGCACCACCAGCTCCATCCTCTTTCTCTGAAATACTCCTCTTTACATTCCTCAGCGACTCGAATGAGGAGCAGGAGTCCCAGCCCCCAGAAAAAGAGGAAGTCCCTGAGAAGACCGGGAAGACAGAGCCGAGCTTCACCAAAGACATCAGCAGGTTTTCCTGACACACAGCACCCTCTGCTGCCCTCAGCCCCTGCCATGATGCCCAGCGTGCACAGCCTGACAGCAGGGCCTGTGGGCAGCATAGAAGCTGCCTTCCCCCTGTCTGTGAGAGCTAGATACAGGTTGAGCATCCCTAATTTAAAAATCCTGCATCTAGAATGATGCACCATGCAAAACTTGTAAAAAGTCACGGGTAAAAAATGCCACTGTGACAACATGTGGTCACAAATAGAAGGTTCTAGACCTGGACCTCATGGGACAGGTTGTGAACAGACCTGGGATTTCATCTTTTACATCCATGACACGTGTTTCTTGATCTCAAATTGACTAGTGAAGGCAGGAAAGGGAAAGCACATGAGGGAGGTGGTGGATGAGCCAGAAGCAAGAGTCCTAACTCATGACTCTAGATGGCTCTTGAGTCAGCGCACACAGCCCCAGTGAGGGACTGAGTAGACAAAGAATCGGGCTGAGGGGCCATGCCTCCTTCATTTTGTCCTAAAGCAGCCTTGCACGCTGGAAACCATATCAGAAAGGCTGTTTCAAATCAGGGTCCCCCATTGAATCTTGCACCCCATACTACAAATGCGGTAGACAGTGTTAAGTAACTTTCCCAGTCTGGTCAGAACACAGCATCTCTAAAGTAGAGGTGTTGTTTGTTCCCCCCCCACCCCCACCTCTCCTGCCCTCCCTTTCCTCTGCCTTCCCACTGTGGTCATCCTTACCTCCCTCACATTTCTCCACAGCAGGATTCCTAAGAAAGGCTTCGTGGAGGTCACTGAACTCACAGATGTGACGTACACCAGCAACCTGGTGCGCCTGAGGCCTGGCCACATGAACGTGGTCCTCATCCTGTCGGCCTCCACCAAGAACAGCCTGCTGCAGAAATTTGCTTTCGAGGTCTACTCATTCACTGGGTAGGTACCCGTACGTGCCCTGGTGTGAGAAAGGGAGGGGGAGGGAGGAGGCCACTTGGGAGAGGGGTGCTGCTAGACCCTTGCACCCTCTCTGGACACGCAGCACCTTCCATGGAGCAAGATGTTGACTGAGTTCTCCCAGAGTCCACACCTAAGCCATCATGGGGGACTTTGGGTGTGTGTCTGGCTTGAACTCGGCCTGGGTACTGTCCCTCAGCTTTTTAGCTCAAAGATGGTGATCTGCCACTTGAGCCACAGTAATTAATTGGAGATAAGAGTCTCATGGACATACCTTCCCAGACTGGCTTTGAACTGTGGTCCTCAGAGACCAGCCTCCTGAGGAGATAGGATTACAGTCATGAGCCACCAGTGCCTGGCTCCTGGGAAAGACTTCTTTTCCCCTTTGACTTTCATGTTTTGTTGGTTCTGAACTGAAGAGATTGAAATCATGTCCCTGTCTGAGCCTCTAACAGGGCTGAGCTTTGCTACTTCTGTGCTCTGAGTTTCACAGGATTCTAGTGCATGAGTGTTGCCCAGGAGAGGGGTGATATGGCTATTCCAGACCTTGCATGCATGCACACATGTGCGCACGCACACAGACACGCACACACGCGTGCACACACACAGACGTCCTTGGGCACCACTGACACAGCCTTTCCCTGTTTCCCCGCTGTTTCCTGTCTATGTGGAGTATTGATCACCTGATGAGAAGTGTCAGGCCCTGACCCCTTGTATCCCCCCTGCAGGAGCAGCTGCCTGCACTTCTCCTTCCTGAGCCTGGACAAACATCGGGAATGGCTGGAGTACTTGCTGGAATTTGCTCAAGATGCAGCCCCCATCCCAAACCAGTACGATAAGCATTTCATGGAGCGGGACTACACAGGTTATGTACTAGCTCTGAACGGCCATAAGAAATATTTCTGCCTTTTCAAGCCCCAAAAAACAATGGAAGAGGAAGAGGCCATGGGGGTGAGCAGCGATCTGGACTCCTCCCTCCACCTGGGCGAGTCTCGGGGGAAGTCTTCCTGCGTGGGGTCCAAGCCCATCAAAGGCAAGTTGAGCAAGCTGTCCTTGTGGATGGAGCGGCTGCTAGAAGGATCCTTACAGAGGTTTTATATCCCATCGTGGCCAGAACTAGACTGAGTCGATTTCTAAAAGAGATGCGAACTCCTCTGATTTTTAACATGCCCCAGGAAACAGGTATTTTCAGGACTCAAGCTATCTCACTGAACAGAGTAGAGATTTAGGATTACTCTTCAGAACAATGCCTAGAAGATTCTTCCTCTGCCCTGCCCTCACCTAGGACAGGTTTGAATTCCCTAAATAAGAACACTTGCCTTTGGGTTCCCCTGTCCTCATCTGAATGCCACACTATTTAAAATAGACTGCTCATTCCTTCCACTCTGCCAGCCCTGTCCCGGGCTCCCACTCCCCTCCTGCCCCATCCTGTCCCATATGGTGGAGGGCCTGACCCTGAGCAGGACCTACCTGTAGTACAGGTCAGGTGGGATCATAGGCCTTACCCTCCACCCCCACCCCAGGCCACAGCCTGGTCCTGGCCTGTACCTCTGTCACGGCGCATGCTCCTACCAGGAAATGGCCCACTGCAGCCACAGGGCCCCAAGTCCTGAAAGCAGCCTAGCTCCACACAATCAGTCTCTGGTGGGATGGTTGTTCTGGGAGCGAGCAGCTGAGAAATGTATTTTGGGGGTATCCCCCACAAGTTTGCCAGGCACGGCTTTGCAAAGAAAAGAATGAGCGGGGGCTCTGCAGATGAGCTGATTTTCTTCCTAGGTAGAGGGAAGGGACTGCTGGGAGGCTCCCCTGGAATTGTGGGTGGCCTCCCCACGGCCCACTGGCCACCCGAGCCAGGGGATGGGGCCTGCCCACCAGATGTACTGTAAGACTGAGCCACTAGCCTGTATGTTTCAGATGCCTTTCTGCCTCCATCAATTTTAGGGTATGGATATTTAGGAGCCATAACTTGTAATCTTGTTCTCTGAACGTAGATAAATAAGCTGCTATAAAGCCAGTAGATGTTAAACCGAAGACAAGTTCTTCCTGCCTGCCTGGAGCCGGGTGAAGCCTCCTGGTTCCCTGGTGTCTTTCTAGTAAAATGCCAGATGCATCTTTGTACCAAGGAACTTAAACTCTCTCAACAGTTGCATTTTGAACATCATCATCCCCAAAGTGCTGTATCTACAAGTCATTTTGGTTTTTGTTGTTGTTGTTTTTAATGACAGATGAGTCAAGACTCATTCTAGACTCCATTTTGAACACTGCTCCCTTTCCACTTGTGGCCCGTGTTTTGGTGTCCCGACTTCACTGATTCACCTCTCCCTTACACGCTGTTCCCAGTGTCAGGTCACACCCATCATCAGCTCCCTCAGCTCTAAGGCGGGCTGTGCCCTCAGTACCCTGGGCTCCAGCCAGTCATGACAGCCCCACTAGAGGGCACTCTGTTTTTAGCACCAGACCACCAGCAAGTTTGGACAACTTACAAAAGTGGTCTTGTTTTACTGTCACAGCAAATACCCTTTCACAAGGTGAAGGGCACAAATCAGGGATGGGACATTGATGAAGTTACTATTTCTTTAATCATCATCGCTTTCTCAACAAAGCCACTCGGATCCTAATCATTTGAACATCAAGCTACAGTGGTTAAGTGGTAAAATCATTTTGAACCCAAGAATTCCTGTAGTTTTCATCAAATCTATAGCTTTATTAAAAAAATAATTTTAAAAAACAAACAAAAAAAAAATCACTGCCAGGCTTCATTCTTCATTGGTCCTCTGAACATGGACACTCTGGTGCCGCAAGTCAGGGTCCCTGGCTCAGGTAGAAACAGTAAAGTCCACTGGGCCCTCCATATGCAGACTTGAAAATTATTTCCTGAAGGCTGCAGATATAGTTGAGTGGCTGAGCATATCCAGCCTTGAGTTCCAGTCCCCCTCTCCCCCCTAAAAAAAGTAATAAGGTAGTTGATATATATATTCTGGTTTTTAATGGTCAAGCTGCTCTTGAGTAGTTTTGGTTCAGTGGTAGGTTTGTATTTTAAATCTTTGGTACTAATGAACTTTCTGACTTATAATTTCTGAAAACCAAAACTTTTCCCAGATTTTTTTGTTTAAGTTTGTAGCCAAAAGAAAAAAGCTACCCCTTCTGTTTACCCAAGAGGATGGTGGTGATAGATTTGACAATATTCTTGTCAGCGCAAACTCAGCACACACCTATTTAGGGACTAATAGCCATGTGCCCCCAGGGGACACTTGGGAGCTTTGCTGTCCTAATTTTGGGGTTTGTGAGAGGGTCTCACTGTGCAGCGCAGGCTGGCCTCAAGCTCACCATCCTTCTGCCTCAGCCTCTCAGGAGTGCTAGAATTACTGGCATGCACTGCCACCTCAGCCTGTTCTCCTGAATGTTGTTTCCGGGTATTTGTTTACTTCTGTGTCAAATGTGAGCCAAACCATGCTCAGCCAATGCCAGCATTTCTCCTGATTTCTGTAATCATACAGGACCCAGCTTTGGTTTTAAATCCTTGGTCTTCGTCTATTGACGTATCATGTTTAGTAGCTGAGTGAACACTGACCTAAAGCTAGTCTTAGTAAAATCTGTGCCCGCATCAAAAGATGCTTTTGTGATTGCACAGGTATTGTTGCACAGTTTGTCTCCCTCAGAGGTTGTGGGCCCTGAGCAGCATTTCAGTGAGCAGGACATCCTGCCTTCTAGAAGATACCTTACTCTCTCCTCCCAACATGGCTACCCCAGACAACTTGGTCATAGTTTCCATGAGTTGCTCTTGTCATCCACAGCCTCTTCATCCTTATAGCCTCTTATTTATTGCCATTCTAAAGAATTTGTAACTCTCCTCCATACATTTTTTTTTTTTTTCCATAGGGAGCCAGGTGCCAGTAGTTCATGCCTGTAATCCTAGCTACTCAGGAGGCTGAAATCTGAGGATCACAGTTCAAAGCCAGCCCAGGAAAGTCCATGAGACTTATCTCCAATAAACCACCAGAAAACGGGAAGTGGCACTGTGGCTCAAGTGGTAAAGCGCTAGCCTTGAGCGGAGGAGCTGAGGGACAGCGCCCAGGCCCAGAGTTCAAGCCCCATGACTGACAAAAAGAAAGAAACAGGGAGCCAAGTACCTGTGGCTTATGCCTGTAATCCTAGCTACTCAGGAGGCTGAGATCTGAGGATCAATATTCAAAGTCAACCCAGGGTATCTTATCTCCAGTTAACCACAAAAAAAAGACAGAAGTGGAGCTGTGGTTCAAGTGGTAAGAATGCCAGCCTTGAGTGAATAAGTGGAGAGATTACGCCCAGGCCCTGAGTTCAAGTCCCAGGACTAGCACACACACAAAAAAGAAATAGGGCCAGACTGTGCTTTCTTTTGTTTTGGTTGGTTGTGGGGCCTGAGCTCTGGGCCTGGGTGCTGTCCATCAGCTTTTCAGCTCAAGGCTAGCACTCTACCACTTGAGCCACAGCACCACTTCTGGCTTTTTCTACTTATGTGGTGCTGAGGCATCGAACCCAGGGCCTCATGCATGCAAGGCAAGCACTCTACCACTGAGACACCTCAGTCCCCAGACTGTACTTTTAAGTGACTTGCTTTGTCTGGCAATAGGGATCAGAAGTAAACAATGAAACTTTTTGTTTGTTTTCCCAAAGTAAAATCCCAGGCTAGAGGATGTAGCTCAGGCAGAGTACTTGTCTAGCATGTATAAGGCCCTGCGTTCCATTGGAAAATTAATAATAAAGTAGGAGTCCTTAAAAGTAGATACAGGGGCTGGAGATGTAGCTCCGTGGCAGCACACTTTCCTAGCATTCTTGGGACCCTGGGTTTGAGCCTTAGCACCACAACAATAAAATAATAAAAGTTGGTGTAGAAGAAATGTAGTTCCTATCCAGATATCTGCCCAAGGCCCTGGAGAATACACACAAGTGTCATGGCTGCTGCCTCAGCCTCAGCTGGTTAGGAGAGAGGACTGCACTTGGAACACACATCTGAGAAGAAGGTGACTATATTTTGCACTTTTGATACTCTTAGGAGTAACTTAATTTGGCAAATTGTCTTTTTTTATGTTTGAGGATTTTCTTTCAGTTTTTTTGTTTTGAGGTTTGTTTTGTTTTTTTTTTTTTGTATTGTGAAAAGCACTGAAGCTGATGTTATTTTGTTTTAAGAATATTATGGACTGGAAACAAATAAACTATTTTAATGTGTGATGACTATGGGCTAGCTCTTGTGTTGCGTGAAGATAATTTGATCAGATGCATCATCCATAAAACTGAACCAATGTGTAATACTACACATGCTTACAGTCAGCACAACAGTTTTGGAATGGGTTATCCACAAAGGGAAAGTGGTGGCTTGGAGAGTAGATGATGGAAAACTGAGTCTTACAGGGCTGGATTAGACGTCTCATTAAGGCTCTGCCGGTGTCTGGTGCTGAAGGCACTCACTCCATGCACTGCTGGGCTGAGCAGAAAGTTTCTTTCAGGGATCTGCATGCTATTTTCTTTTCTTTTCTTTTTTTTGGTCGATTGTGGGGCTTGAACTCAGCCTGGGTGTTGTCCCTGAGTTCTTCAGCTCAAGGCAAATGCTCTACCACTTGAGCCACAGCACCACTTCTGGTTTCCTGGTGGTTAATTGGAGATAAGAGTCTCATGGACTTTCCTGGGCTGGCTTTGAACCTCAATCCTCAGATCTCAGCCTCCTGAGTAGCTAGGATTATAGGTGTGAACCACTGGTGCTGGGCTGCACTATTTTCTTTTTTTGCCAATCCTAGGGCTTGAACTCAGTTCCTGGGCACTGTCCCTAAGCTGCTTTTGCTCAAGGCTAGCACTCTACCACTGGAACCACAGCGCCACTTCCAGCTTTTTCTGTTGTATGTGGTACTGAGGAATTGAACTCAGGGCTGCATGCATGCTAAGCAGGCATTCTACCACTGAGCCACATTCCCAGCCCTATGCTATTTTCTTTTCTTTTCTTTTGTATGTTTTTTATTGTAAAAATGCCGTAGAGGGGTTACAGTTTCATGAGCAAGGTACTGAGTACATTTCCCATCGAGCATTTTTGCCTTCTTTTTTTTTTTTTGTTGGTCGTGGGGCCTGAACTCTGGGCCTGGGCACTGTCCCTCAGCTCTTCAGCTCAAGGCTAGCACTCTACCACTTGAGCCACAGCACCACTTCCGGCTTTTTCTGATTATGTGGAGCTGAGGAATCGAACCTAGGGCCTCCTGCATGCCAAGCAAGCACTCTACCACTAAGCCACCTTCCCAGTCCCCTATTTTCTTTTACACTGACTTATGCTCACATGCATCTAAGACCAAGATATAGCCATGAATTCCTCAGAAGAGGAGCT